TCAATTTTATTTAAATATAGTAAAAACGAACATTTGATGAATAGAAGTATCTGCCTGAATATCCTTTTTCCATTGTTCATTAGAAATTTTAAGTAACACTTAACACTGCAATTCTTTACCTACTATATATACTTAAACGTATAAATGTTTTTTTAAAGTAAAAATTTACCTTTTAAAAAATTACTTTTTTTTTCAGCGTTTAGTCGCAGAATACCACACTCTGTAAATGATAGAAATGTCCGCCATTTTATAATTCTTAGATGACTGTGCTTTAGTTTAGCCACTAGTCAAAAGTATTAAACAAAAAACTCAATCCTTGATTTAAAAATATAATTAAAAAGTTTTGCACAATAACTTACTTACGATAACGACTACAATTAATTTATATAAAACTATTAAACAAGAGGAAAATTTATTACGGAAAGACACAGAGGGGGCGAGAGTGGGGGGAGGGGGAGGGGTGGGGTTATAAGATTACACATCACATTTTTTCTTATTTATAATAATTCATTGATAGAAGAAATTGTTTTTTTTTTTGTCTCATTAATGGAAATTCTTACATACATTTAATAAAAAGTACACGATTATTATTATTATTATTATTATTATTTATTTAAATAATATTTTACGTCCATTGACTAGATAACTACTTATGTATATTAATAATGATGATAATAATAAACCGAAAACATTTTTTTTTTTTTGACAACTACTACAATTTAAAACAAAAAAATTGTACGGTGAAATATTATTTGATTAATGACGTAAAATATTTTATTTATTTTTATTTAAATAATAATAATAATAATAATAATAATAATTAATTAATTCGAAACAGAAAATATTATTCTAATTAATTTAATTTATTTTTTTCTAGATTTGAAATAAACCATAATAATAATAAATTTTTTTTAATATATTTATACATATTGCACTTAATATAAAAAAATAATTAAATAATTAATTTACAAAAATCTACATAATTTTAAAAAGAAAAACAAAATATATGTATTTATTTATGTATATTTTTTTATCTACTTTATTAAATACGTTAATAAATAGTAAATGCTTATAGAATATCGGCTATTAGATACATTTATTATACTACATCTAAAAGAAACTAGGTAGGATTCGATTATTAAACTTTTACCTAAAATTTTTTGATAATTAAATAAATAAAAATTATTTTTGTTTACTTTTTACATTAAATTCCCTTATTATTATTATTATCAATATCGGAAAATACAAAAAAATAAATTGAATAACAATAAATTATTTAAAAGGGAAATTAAAAATAAAAAAATTTGAAAAAAATTATTAAAAAAATTCGACGGCACTCCACAATCAATTTTTTTTACATTAATAAATAATTAATTTTTAAAGCAGACGACGAAAATTAATAAATTTATATGTATTTTAACCGTACAAAATAAATGTTGGAATGTGAAAAATAAATTATGTATTTTCTAATTAGAAAATTAATTAAATAAATATGATGTCAAATTTTCATTTTTTTCCTTTTTTCTCACCATGATTAAAAATAATACTTAAAAACTATAAAAATAAAACATTAGATTATTATTATTATTATTATTTAATAATAATAATAAAAATTTTATGAGTTATAATTACTGTGCATATAAATAAATATTTAAAATATGGCTTCAATATATATATATATCGTGTAAATATTAATAAATAAAATAATTAAATATATTTATACCAAGCAATGTCCAACGCTAAAAAAAAAAAATTAAATTAATAAGCAACTAATTTACATTTCATTAATTAATTAATTAATGATAATAATAACAGTGTTGATTGTATTTAGCGGTATTATTTAATTTACTCACACGCACTCACGCACCATCACATACATAATGTTTAAAAACTACGACGTTACAATACGAAAATCAATTTTTTTTTTATTTTTAAATTTAATAATTGGCCCATTATTAAAAATTATTTGGTTGATATGTAATTGCACTGCAATAATAATTTAAATTTTATTTTTGTTCTTAATTTTTTTTTTTATTTATTGCAAAAAAAAAAAAAAAAAGAAAATGTTTTTCTTTAAGCTCAAATAAAAAATAAAATAATAATAATAATAATAATTAATTAAAGAGCACTTTATATGATGAGAATTTTTGCACTTATTCGATTGTAATTTTATGTATGTGAACCTGAATTGATATTAAAATCATAAATTTATTTATTTATTTATTTTTTTTCAATTATACAATAAATAAACATTTTTTTTAAACAAATAAAGAACCTGATAATGTGTTATAAATAATATAACAAAAGATGTACATAAATCATTTTAAATAAGTTTAAATGTACAATCACAATAAGTGCATTTTTTCAAACACAATAAATAAATAAATAATTATTACCATGAATACATATTATTAATTTAAAAAAAAAAAATTAAATTTTTTTTTCTTTGGTTTTTTTCCTTAACTGTAGGCCCGAATTAATTATTACTAAACAAAAAATAAAAATAAATCCATATTAATTAAATAAATAAATAAAATAATAAATTAATTATAATTATTTGCAATACTATTTATAAACTTGTTGATATTATTATTAACTTATTATACCCATAATTAGTACATTAAATCTTACTATTTTATGTTACTACCATTACTAATATATATATATATATTTAAAAAAAATAATAATAATAATATTTGGGTAATATAATAAAGTTAAAAATTTTAAACGGTAATAAATTACACAGAAAATAAAAATTTATTGCCCGCATGCTTTCATATACTATTTACTAATACTCTTTTTACTGAAGTTTTTTTATTTAAACGATGGCCCCAATCATATTTTGTAATGCTCAAAAGTGCCTTAAAAGTAACAGGTGTTGTTAAAATATATAATATTTATTTAAAAATTATTTTAAATAATTATCGATAATAAATAATTCCAAACTTTCAATTAACATAATTAAATTGATTGATAGACAAAAAAAAAATTAAAGCAAATTAATAATTAATTACTTAATTTTTACTGTACTTGTAACTGACTGTATAAAATATAGTCACCTAATAAATATTAGGTGACTATGAAAATGTTTTTTATCAGAAGCATTAATTAATTAGCAGTAGTAGCATCAGCAACAATTTAAAATAAGGAAGACGCTCACTTAAAAAATAATAATAATAATAATAATAATAAAAAAAGTGTAATAATTCATTTTTCATATTAATAATGAGAATAAGAAAAAATAATTATTAATCAACTTTAAATTTTAATTTTGAACAGAAAGTACATTGTATCAATAACTTAATAAATTTTAATTAAAAAAAAAAAAAAAAATATTGTGCTGTTCCCTAATTTCAATTAATTTTCAATCAATTTTTACATTCAGTAAAAAAAAAAAAAAAAAAAAAAAATTTATGCGTTATTCAAATAATGATAATATATATATATATGCTATACCGAAAAATAATAATAACATATTTCTAATAAAAAAAAAAAAAAATTAACTTTTTGTGGCTGAACAAAAACGTTAAACAAAAAATTGACACGACGTTTTCGTAATTAATAAAAAGAAAGAAATTCAAGAAATAATAATAATAATAATAATAAAAAAAAATTTTTTTACACTATTGTAAATTCAAGAAGAATTAATCTACTAGGAAAAGTGAAAGAAGGATTATTTTTTTTGTGTAGAAAAAAGGATACTACTAAATGAGGATTTCATCGAATGTCGGTGATATTGTTCTTGGATCCGAATATTTTTATAAGTTGTTCTTCGTAATCATTTATATTCCGTTTCATTATCTGCATGCACGGCCCCAACAAACGTTCAAAAGCTTCAACATCCAAAACTGAAAATTAAATATCAAAAGGGTAAAAAAAAAATTTTTTTTTTTTTTTTTTTTTATAAAGCCATTTAATATTTAAAAGGCCATATTGAATTATATTTACATGCTAATTTG